ACTTACTTATATTTATTTTAACTTTACAATATTATGAATGTATGTATACATAATATTACATAATATTATGTTTATATGCATTATTGTATTAAAAACTTGACATTCATTATTTAAAATTTTGTTATTTTTTTTTATTTACTGTCACCATCATAATAATGAAGGATAGGTTACGATTTGATGTTATACTTAAATGGAGGCGGTATGCGGAATGTGATTTTATGCACAATCCTAAAATTGTTGCAATGCAATTGCAAAACTGTTTAAATTTAAAATTTGTTTTTATTACTTTTGACGTAAGATTGACGTTTAAAAAAATGTCAATCGTATATTTATGACATCCAATAGATTTATCTGCGCTCCCCAACACCAATTTGAAATATTCAATAGTCCCATACCGGATACCGCATCTATTTAAGTTAGGACATAACACACTAACTTTAAATAAATTGGATATTTTTACTTTTCTGATCAGTGACGTAACAAATAATACTTTGAATGATCGTTTATGCACAGTGTTGCCATTTTGTCATATTAAGGCCAAATTTTTTATTTAAAAATAAACATTTTCTAATTTTTTTTTGTATTTCTTTGCATTTTTTTGAAATTTTAGAAAAAATTGTGAGGCTTTATCCTAATCTGTTTTTTCAGTACCAACTTTATTTAAGAAGTGGTAAAATTTTTTAAAAAATGCCAGTCAGCGGTTAAGAGAATATTTTGCCAGTATTATTTTTTTTGTTTTTGTTTATTATGCTTTGAAAGTAAATTTCTTTAAAAAGGTTTTTAAATTTCTTTTTGTTTTTGAAATTGGCAAAATACTTGGAAATGTAGCTTATAAATTTTTTGGAGAATGACATTTTTTATAACCAATTTTTTTTGCCTTAAAGAAAGTTATTCGAGGTTGTTTTAATCAGTGTTGTATTTTAGTGTCATATTGGAAGCTTTATATTACACTTTAGACATCAAGCAATTTTCGCTAATTTTCATTTTATTTTATTGAAGGCTTCACATTTATGTTTCATGTATTACCTCTTCATTAGCTTCTCTTGAGTAAGTAGTTTTCTTGATTAAAATTTATTTTATTTTAATGAAGTGAACGTCAAACATACATTAAAAATTTATAATAGATATTATATGCATATTTTTTATCTTAAAAAATTCATTTAAAACTAAGAAATTTGGTTTTTACTAAATACAACAAGAGTGAATAAAAATTTTATAAGAGATTTTTCTTGAAGAATTAAAATGTAGTGGAAGAATTTCATTATGTGAGGATTTGGATACCTTTTCACCTCTGAAGAAAAGGTAAATTACAGATCTTAGATTTTGGTTTCGCATAAGGCAACATTGATATTAGAAATAAGAAATTTGTAGGTATATTTTATTTTTAGGAAGTTTCTCTAAGAAATTTTTCTCATTTACAATTCTTTTCTATTGCTTATTATCTAATCAGAAATTCTATCTATACCTTATTAAAATAAATATATTTTACAATTCAATTTTCATTCGACTAGTTTGTTAAAAATTATATTAATATAGGAAATTTTATTTTATTCATACGTTTAACATAAATGTATGTATATACGAGTAACGAGTATATTTGTGAAGATTTATTAATATATATATATATATATATATATATATTACATACTTAAATTTGTTGAGAATTTAAACTATGAAAGGTGGCAACTTGATATGCACTATATAAAACTGTAGAAGGTATGTAATTATGTATTTATGTATATGTAATAACAACTTAAAATACAAACAATTTAATAATTAAACAGGATTAAATTATAAAAATATAGTTATTGAATATTTGAATATTTTTTGTACATGTCTTGTAAGTTACAGCGTCATTAAAATGCAATGAAGGACGCAGAAGTGTCGAATGTTTATCATTAAATGACACTTGGAATTTTTGACATTAACAAATTATAATTTTTTTTTTCAATATTTTAATTAAGTTGAAACGTAATACGTATAGACATATATTTCTAAGATAAATTTTCATAAATAAAATTTGTGCTAAAACGTACTGCAAATCAAAAAGCACAATTTGAAAATATGCTTAATAATTATTATATGTAGTAGTTTAACTAGTTTTGAAAGCAAATACATACACTGAAAACCCTCATCACTTTTGACATTTGTCTTCTATATGTGACGCATATCAATTCATTCCTAAATTTAGTTATTTTAACATTTTTATATAATATTATGTAAAAAGAGTATGAAGATTCAAGAATTATTTTTTTTTAAATGTTAAGAAATTAGTTCCATTTTTGGTTTGGAAGAAAAAGAAATCAAGATTGAGTTTAAATGAAAAATTACCTCAACTGATTGATGCTGAGTGTAGAAAAAATTTGCAATATAAGTTTTGAATATAAATTAAATTTTAAATAATGAAATTACAAAGTAGGTACGTATGTGCTATAAATTTTATTTATTATTTTATAATGTTACACTTATTTTTAGTTGGAAATTTAAAGGATTTGCTTGACGATTAATCGGCATTGCATTTTATTTTATATTTTGAATGGCCTCTTATATTTTTGTTATATGAGGTTTTAATGTTAATCTCTGGTCCCGATTAACTATCGTTTATTAAATACTACATGTATGTGCATATAGTATGTATATTATATTATATAAATTTATTTGTAACTTATAAAATGAGGGTTAAATTTATTTTAGTAGTTTGATTATAATATAAATGAATTTAATATTTTTCATATATTATTAAATATTATTCAAGTATATTATAAGTCTAATTGTATTACATTATATTTTAAATATTTTAGGTGCAGCTGATCATATTTTAGCAAAATATAAAATAAGGAAATAACTGAATGGTAAATTCACATTGTTTTTTAATTATTTTATTATTTAACACAAAAAAATATGTATTTTTACATTGTTAAATAATAATATAATATATATTTATATATACATATACATATATCTATATGTATATATATATATATATATATATATATTGATTTATATATTTATATATATTATAATTGATTTATAATTTTATATATAAACGTTATTCATTCAAAAATTTTATCAAAAACCAATTAAATTCGAAATTAACAATTTCTTATAATATTGATATAAGAAATAATAACAAAAAATTAATCTACTCAAAATAAAACTTTTGAGTAAAAATATTAAAAATTAAATTAATATTAAAAAAAATGAAAGAATTGAAAACTTATTCAAATATCGCGATTTTCTTTTATTGTAATTATTTTTACTTATTCTAAAGTATTAAATTACAAAGCGAAAATTTTTAATAAATTACTTGCTTTAATTTTTTCAATATTTTATACTATATATTTCTCTGACAACTATATGTTTTATAAATAGGTATACTATTATAATTTTAGAACTCACTATATTAATTGTTATATAAATTTTATAAATATTTTACTATAAAAAGCAGATTAATTAAATGCTTAATTAATTATTATGTTTCATTAAAAAAAAATAACAAAACAAAAAACAAATTAACAAGTAAATTAATTAATTTACATTGAATAAATTTTATATTCAATTAATTTCTTAATTTAAAATTAAATTTTCATTTTAAATTTATTAATTTAATAATTTATTTTTTTTTTCTAATATAATACGCAAGAAACCTCGAAACTTTTTTTTTTGTTTACTTTTTTAGCTAAATAATTCAAAGCATGCATTTTACTAAAATAACTATTATAATTTTAGTACTAATATTTTATATATATTTTTGTTAAATTTTTGAATTTAAAAATTTTTACCTACGCATATTATAGCAAGCAAAAATGCTAATACATTTTAATATTAAAAATGTTTTAATATTTATAATGTTCAATTAAAATTATCTTAATTACATTCTTATTAGTTTTATTTTTGTTTCTATATGTGTAAAAAAAAAGGAATGTTTTTGTTATACAGTACCCATTATAGTTTGCTATTTAAATTAAATATGCATCAAATAGGAAATTAAATATATGTTTCCTTTTCATATAAATTATTTAATTGAAGTAATCCTTTTGAAAACTCTTCATCACATATAGGATGATAGGGATAAGTTTCTATTGACTTTAAATTATTTAGTATTGGAAGACATACAAAAGAAAAATTTAAATCATAAAAATATGTTAAATAAAATTTATATTTTATTCGGAGATCATGAGACATATTGTGCCAACGTCGCAAAATATGTACACTTTGTGAAAACAGGATATTTATTGTTATACAGATAATTTGAATTCCAAATTTGTATATGTTTATTATATTATTAATGTTATGGCAATAATTTTTAATTACAATCCCGTTTTTTCCAATAAATTTTGCAATCAAATTGCTGCTATATAAAAATTTTCAAAAATATATTAAAAATTTATTTAAAGATTACTCATATATTCATAGTATAATGGTTTGTTCTTTTGACGTCCAACAGTTTTATTATCATAGGTACTTTAAAAATAATAGAAAATATTTGCAAATAAAATTTGATATTACAAAAATTAAACAAAATTTTTAAAATAATATTAATTGTTATTTATTTCAATTTATTGTTTTTAATTTATTTAGTTTATTAGTTTTTCTATATAATTATAATTCTTTAATTAATTTCTCCATTTTTACTAAACAACGTAACAATTCAATTTTTCATAATTAATTTTTGTTTTTATGCATAATACATGTTATATAATTACATAAAATGTAATTTTATTTCTTTAAATATAATAGTTACATTCATATATATTTACTTACATATTATATGTAAATAATATTATAGCTTCCTTAATCATTTATATAATATAAGATTTTCACCAAAAATTGGCAAACACATTAGAATTGCTTTAGAATTTTTTTTATATTTATTCAAATATGTATATACATATATAAATCTAAAATTTATCTAATAAAAACTTAAAATGAATAACAAATAATATTCGAATATTATATAAAATAATTAATTCTATATAATTATAATATACTGTTTTTTTTTTAAAGAATATTATAATTAACGATTCCATTTTGTTTTATTCGAAATTTCGTATCGGATGTTTGTTGTTTGTTTTCTATAAATTATTAAAATATTAATCAGCAATATATTTAAAACAGCATGAATTTGTTTTCGATTAGGAAGAACGAATTATAAATTACTGATGTTTGCCGTCTTCTCTTAAACCATACCAAAACCTTCACTTCCTTCACTAATCGAAAGTAATAGAGCCTTTTCGAATTGCTCATAACTTTCATAATCTGGTAAGCATAATTGATTAAAGCTAAAATTAAACAAAAAAAGAGATGATTAATAATTGATATAAATTTTGATGTGCATTATTTTTTTAAAGTTTTTGATTTATAAAAAATTTTAATGGCTTTCAGTTTAGTTAACTCCTATTTATGTACATCTTTTTAACAATGCTTTTCAAATTATGAACTATACTGATTATTAGACGTTAAGAACGGAAAACAAAATAAAACAAGAAAAAATAGAATTTGTTATCCTATGTGCGAGTAAATATGCCATTGCTGACTATGGAACAGACTATGACTTTAAGTTGCCGTATTACCATATTAATTTATGTAAAATTTCAGTACTGTGTTTTCAACGTTTTCTAAGATATGTTCGTATGGGTATAAAGAGGTTTTAGAAATTGTAAGAATCAAAAAAAGAAACGAGAATCAAAATATGAAATATTTTGCAGCTAAAATTTAAGAGTTAATAATATTAAAATAAGATTTAAAAATGTAATTAATAATTTAATGATTTCTAATTAAGAACAATGTGACTATTAAATAAAAGTGAATAAATTCTTAAATTGGTGCTTCGACAACTTAAAAAGAATTGATAAAAAAAATGTTAAAATTATAAAAATCAATTTAACTAAATGCTTTTCAGATTATGTGAAGATGGCGCTTTGCTATATACTTAGCGTATGTTCTAAACAAAAATTAAAAATAATTTTCGAAACATATTATTTTGGAAAGTAAACAATTATCATGTGGTTGCTGTTCAAGATAGTGACTAATAATGGTTTTTGTCTAAAATAAAATCTAGAATTGAAATTGTTATGAAAAAATTTGGGCAACAAAAATGAAATATAATATTTCCTACATCTTGTTTTTCGAAAAGGTTTTTGCATTAACTATTATAGTTTATTTTCGAAATATTTTAACGAAACTATTGAAAAACAATGGAAAGACTATCATAGAAAACAACCAAAGTATTCATCGAAAGATTTAATATATTACTCCGATTTTTTTTACTTTTAAAATATTTGTAAAAAATAATCCGAAAATTGTATACTCATGTTGCTTTGTACAGTGTTGGAATATTGGCATAATGAATTTCAGATTTGCGTTGAGTTTTTAAAAGATTATGCAAAGTGCATTTCTGGGTTAATAGCGCTTTAGAAAAGTATTGAAAAATTTTTGAAAAAATTTTGAACAATTGCCGCTGGTTCGAATTTTGTAAATTTAATATGTTCTATTTTAAATATTAAGAATAAGAAGAAGGTTGTGAGTTAAAAAAATAAAAATTGTTTGTTTTTTAGTTAAATTCTTTTAAAGTAGCAAGTTTTTGAAATTTGGCATAAAATGGCATTACATTTTGCCTACTAAAGCGCAATTTTCTGCACAAATATTCCAACACTATAGGTGGTATAGGATTATTTATTTCTACATATAATGTATATTCCTTTATATTTGCAATTTTATGTATACGTATAAATGTCTCATAAGATTTATATAGTAAAATAAATGTTTTTTGTATTTACCATGTATGAGCTGTTGGCAAATTACCAAATGTTGGTGCTGCTGTTATTTGAAAACGTGGATTTAATTCTTGAAAACCACCTGGCGGTAATTGTGAACATCCAGTTGTAAATTGTAATAATCTTGCCATTTCCGTTTGACTAAAATTACTAACAGCTGCCCAAAACCAACCTAATACACGTCGAAATTCAGCTGAATTACCATTTGCGATATGATGCTGTTTAAAATCAGCTATAGAATATTCACCAGTACCACACATTAATAACTAAAAATTTTAAAAATTACTAAATTGTAAATATCAAAAATATTTTATTTAATTTCACCTCAAGTTCATTTTCATCGAAAATACTTAATAAATTATCTGGTATAATACCATTTAATCCTTTTAAAAAACTATCAACTTCATCTTTAACACTATTACATAATCTTTGTTGAGCTAATGCATCTAAATATTGATTTTTTGTTGAATTTGTAACACGTACTCTTGAACCATTTGGTATTAATTCAACTGTTTTTGATAGTTGACCGCTAACATCATAAACTTCTTCAACAAAATATAATTCCAATGATTCACTAGTATCTAAATCGGTTTCTAGGATATATTTTATTTTCGATAAATATAAATCGGGGTCATCTTGTTCGAAATACTAAAAGAAACAAACCAACAAAAAAAAAATTTTATTGACTTGTAAATTTTATTAATATTCTATATTATTCTCACCTTATAATGAACTCTTAAACCAATTAATTGCGCTAAAAAGGAACGTGTAAATCTAGCTCTTACTAATTGTCTATAGGAACCACCTAATGCGCTTTCATATAAACATTTTCCAACAATTTTACCAGCAAATTCAAAATGTTTTAATTTTAAATGTGATGATCTATGTGGATTCGGATGTACTAATGCTTGACGTTTATCATGAAAAGTACAAAATAAGCCACCACGTGGATCAAATAATGAACTACAAATTAATTCAAACCATTCTCGTCTTAGACCACCCCAATCGATTCCTACACCAAATTCATTTATGTATTATAATTTAATAGTTGATAACAATATTTAGCTTAAATTTTTTAGATATTATTTACCTTGTTCACCTTGAAATGTTACTTCAAAATTACCGCACCAATCGCTAACAGAAAAACCTTTTGTCGCTTTCATACTACTTTCTAAAATTTTTTCACGATTAACTTTTAATGATAATTTCTCATGATAATAATTTGAATGAAATTTTCGAACTTCATGATAAAAGAAATCTTGTTTATCTTTAAATGTTTCGGAACCACCAATATTCTTTAATAAGAAATGTGTAAATGTTGCAGCAATAATATTTCGATCTTTTGATGCTAATTCGATTTTTGGTTGTGATCCATCATCAATAATAAAAACTGGTCCATGTGTTTGAGTTATATTTGGTGGTAGAAAATGAAATTTTGTTGAAGGGCATAACCGAAATGTTGCAATACGTTTCGGAATGAATTTAAGGATCATTTCCTTAATTGTTATCTAAATATAAAAATTAAATATAGGAACAAAAATTAATTTTTATTTTGTTTAAGTTAAATGAAAAAAAAAAAATAAAAATTTGAAGAATTTTCTCACTTTTGATCTCATATGGACCCATAATAAATGATTCGAAATATTTAAAACTTTTTTAATATTTTTCGTAACCATTTTCATTTTAAAACTTAGAAAAACAGGGAATAAAAGTTGAAAAGCTGTTGTTTTTATTTTTGATACTTAACACAGATTCGTTACAAAATTTAACGTCAAATCGTTTCAGTTTACCATGTCAATTTCATCAAAACTGACCAGTGCTGTTGAACGATGTGAATTTGAAGGAGTTCATTTCTAAATAACATTCTTTGTTCATATTTAATTTTCCAATTCAGCTGCTGTTACGTCGCTATTTATTGTCTTATGTTGTTTTCATCAATTTGAAGCATGAATAATAATCTTTGGTTTATATCAACCATTCTGCTTTAATTGGAACATAATATTGAACATATTACTGATAATGTTTTGGCCGAAAGGCCCGATCGCTTAAAACTATTCCTTTTTTGAGAGGACAACGCAATGTGTTTAAAATTTACATGAGCTAAATTATTTGGAGAAGAAGTGGCAACAGTTGGTTTGTTGAGTTAAACCAAAGTGAAATGAAAAATTGTAATTTGTAATAAACTAATCGCTCTCCAGCTATTCAAATAAATTTTAAATATTGTGCGGTATCGAAAAAAGCGTCTTATCTAAGATTAATTCTGTTATGTTTCAGGTTTTCAAAAGTATGTTATGCATCAGGTTGCTGTTTGAATTCATTCTTTAACATTCTATTAATGTGCAATTAAATTAAAAATTTTATTTGATCTGAAACTTTTATAGTATAAAAGTTAAAGTAATTGACTGTTGAAATTTTTTTTTCCTTTTTTCTTGATCAAAAATCGTGTCGAAAAAACATATTATTTTAACTATATAGAAAATCTTATTGTATAAGGTAATAAAATTAATTTCATTGTGAATTTTTTAAAACAATATGCTGAGTTAATAATATGAACAGCTCTACTCGTGAATTTGTGTAAATGTATATGTACGAGTACAACGAAAACCTTATAAAGTCATCGGAATCGATCAATTTCTTATATTCCCTTGATTTCAATTTATAGAAAGTATAGAATTGTTTTTTTTTTTCAAAAAAGGATAAAAATAGAAAACATTTTTTATATCCTCTCTAAATTTTCTTTTTCGTTCGTTTTCTTTTTTCTTTTCCTATAATAAATTTAATAAAATCAATGAAATTTAATTTGTGGTTGTTTTTGTTCTACATTTTCTCACTTTACATTGTTATTTCAGTCTCACATAATACACCTTTATTTTTGATATACGTCTGAACACACCATAATATAAAAGCACGAATCAGTTATTTTACGTGTACGTGTTGTTATTTCTGTGGTTTTAAGGAAAAGCTTACTAAGTCACAAAAATGTATTACGATTAAAATTAGTTCAACGTGAGACTCCAGTCTTTTCTAATTTATTTTTCATTTATTGGGTAAGAATGAAATGACTGAATATCAATGTAGTAGTGCGATACATGATACCCAAGTGTGAAGTACAAGAAAATTTAGTTAATTTGTTTTAGAAGGTGTTAAAATTAATAGTACAAACCAAAAATTCGTGAATTTTTGTTGAATTCAAAACACAAATGAATTGTTTTGATAAAAAAAAAACTTCTGTAGTAAATTGATTAGAAAAAAAAGTAAAAAGTAGTTGAGGCAAAAGAGCTCAGGTTTCGTTAAAAGTCTTTTTATTTGTAGTCACAGATTTATTATAACGGTGCTATGCTGTTTATAAATAATGTATATGTGTTTAGATTTTTATATCTACTTGATTATTAATTTTTGTTCTTTTTTTGTGTACTAAAATTTTCTTACCTGTTTTGGTCCAACATAACATAGAACACGACGTGCTTTAGATTTTGGTTGCCCATAAATACTTAAAAGTTTCGCTTCATAACAAATATTGTGCTTACGAGATGCAATATTTTTGTGTACTAATGTTGTATCGCTACCTTGAATTCATAAAATTCAAATGAGATATTTTAGTAAATCAATTCATATTTATTTTTTCAATAAAAAAAAAAAATAGAAATGAAAAGAGAATAAAAATTTTCTAAATTGATTTTGAATTGCGTTCATGCTTTCGCTTTTTTTTTTTGACTTTTATTTTTTATATTTTCCGAGTTTTCCTTCTTTGCTGCTCTCGCAGTTTTTCATTAATTTCCAAATAATGAAAAAAGATAAAAAAATAAAATTAATTCAAAAATCACGGAAAACGTTGAAATTATATAGAAGTGCTTTAAATCCAAAAATGAATAGATCATAAATTTTCCAGAAAATGAATCTTTTTTTAATTATATTGTAATCTTATTTAATTAATTAATTATTCTAGATATGGATTTCTAAAAGAACAGGAATGCTTGCTATAAATATTTCAAAATGAATATTTGTTTGGACGATGATGACGGTTTGTGCGCACGAAATTAATGTACGTAAATATGAATGAAAGGCAGCAAATCTTATCTAGGTAATTCGAACAAATCTACTCTTTTTTGGTGCTTTCTCTGCTCGTTCTGGTGTTTTGCATAAGGTGTCAAATGATTTCAGGGATTATTCTTTGATAAAGTAGGAAAATATTATATGGATAACTAAAAGTTAACCTTTTCTAGTGCATTGAAAAAAAAAAACAAAAAATTATCGCACAAATTTTCGCAAAATTTCAACAAAAATTCTGAATCTGACGAGCTTTATCTCGAAAACTATGGCACAAATCAAATTTATTAGAAGACTCTAAAAAAAACATCAATCGCATTTAAAACAACCTCGCGATAATTACTCTATGTCGCATGGGTTCCGAAGTTATAAGTATTTATTTATATAAAGAGGAATTTATATAACAGCCTGTTTTATGGAAATTGATCAAAGAATCGTTCATGAAAATATTTCCTACCTTATGCCATCCTATACTTGATTATGCACAAGAATTTTTAAATCTATTAAGATATTCATGCGGTTTTAGGAATAAAAGTGAAATTTAATTTATGTTAGGCCTTTCTGAGTTCTAAACCATTGTAAATAAAATTCTTTTATATTGAGATAATGTTCGCACACCTCAACAGGATCTGAGACACTGAGGCTTATAATCAATTTCGACTTTGGTTTTGCATTTATAAACATCTTACTGCACCTTTTATTGATACGGGGCTTCAATAATATTAATGTTTCCCAAATAACTAATCAAGCTATATTTTTTAAGGCATTCAATTTAAATTTTAATTAAAATTTAAACGATTCAAATGCAAGAAAATTCTGAATAAAATTTTAATATAATTTATAAGTTTTTTTTAAGATAAAAATATCCTATCCAAATACAAGTTATATCTGTTATAAAAATATACAAGTTGTTTAACTATCAATAAGTTTAACAATAATTTTATGCCTAATTGCTTCCAACATTACATTTAATTTCCTTTCCGACAAAATATTTTTATATTTTACTCTATATACTCTTACCTATGTACATAATATTATGTACATAATTTTTTCAAATCAAATCTTTTAATTTATATTTTGTTGTATAGTTATAAAGTAAATTATACAATAAAAATATTTGACATTTATGTCATATATTGACATTTCATTTCTGTCATTATATTTGTGCATTTAATAAGATTTTCGAAGTGAAATTTTTATTTTATTTTGTTTTTTTTTTTTCTATTTTCGATTATTTATTACTGTAATAAATCAAATTTATATGTAAATTAAATGAAAATTCTGTAATAAATATTCTAATTTATTTAGTATTTTCATAACGGCATTTTATATAAGTAGTTAATATTTTTGTTATTCAAAATATTTAATACTCGTACAATAAAAATAAATAACAAGACAATGAAAATATATGTAGTAATTTTTATGTACGTAGAGTAGAATCAACATATTATAATTGAAGGTCATTGAAAAAGCCTATGTTTCCTCATTTATATTACTCGCGTACATAATGATTTTCATAATGGGAATTAATTTTGCGTCAATGATGTCATGATAAGGTGACCATTTGAAATTATATAGGTATATACACAAATTATAATTCGACAAGTACCACATGTTAACCACACAATAATAGTAATTGCTTAAAATACTTAAGATTGATTTTTAAATATCAGTGGTTGCAAAGGAAAATTTTATAAGACAGTAATAATTATATATCAAAATTATAGATTTTATTTTTGTTAAAAAAGACCCCAATTTTAGTCAAAGTTCCTGTAGAAAACAGAATTTCCAAAAATATAAAATCGACCCCTAATAAAGGTCTGGTTTCTCAATTCTGATATTGCCAAAACATTACTCATCCAGTATTTTAAAATAATCAGTTGAAAAATTAACAATCAAGAAAATTGGTTTCCACTTTATGCATATATGTGGAAAAATATAAATTCGATCGACAGTAAAAGTTTAGTTGCTGACACCTAATTTCCACGAAAAACAAGGCTTCTTGGTCCACGAATATGCTGAATATTTTCTAAAATAATCAATAATGTAAATTCGAACCGTATAGTAAAGCCTAATTTAACAATTTGTTGTCCATCACCTATTACGCTGAATTAGTATACGTCAGCAAAAAATTCTACTTATATAAAATGTGGTGCCATCACATTACCCCGATTCGGCAACCAATTATTAAATTTAACTCTAATTTCTTGCATTTAATACGACTAGAAATTTGGGAAGATATGGTGTGCGGCTTTCAGTGTACTTTATTAATTACAATTAAATGGGAAAATTAAATTTTTAATTTTTTTTTCAGTTATGATTCGAATTTGTTAATTTAATTAATAAACCTTTTAAATAATTTTTGTACCGCAACACATACCTTAGATAATCTGGTCACCATAATATTTTTATGAATCAATTCTTAATAAACAAAATTCTTTTCTTTTTGAAAGTTTTTTGTGAAAATTTATATTAAAAATAAGAAAAAATAAAATGAATACAAAAAATATTATAAATCGAGCGAAAAAAAATCGAAAGAAAGAAAAAACAACTTACTACTCAACACAATGATATCAAAATCTCCATTTGGTAATTTTTGTCCTTGATAACTGATCACAGCACGAAGGCATACCGGTTCGGGGAATAGAGCTGTTACAGCGACACGTGAGTTGACTTTATCATATGAAAATGATATGGCACGTGATAGTTTCTCTGCTGTATTACCATGTAAATCGAATATTTCAACATCGTAGCCCTGAAAAGAAAACAAGAAAACAAAGAAAAGAAAAAACAAAAAAAAAAAACAGAAACGTTTAAAAATAAATGGGGAAAATATATATATATGTATATTTTTTTAAAAACGATTTTTTTCTTTTCTTGAGAAAAAATTTTATTTTAACTTAAAAGTTTTTCTATTTTTTTTTTTATATTTTCTTCTTCAAGACTTTTAAGCATTTATTTTAAGATTCTGTTATGAATATATTTGATTCATTTCAAGAGGATAAAATAATTTACATACATCCATACATAAATACGGTATAAGAATTAGAATCGTTTAAATTTAAAATTGTAACTATTAAACGAAATGTGATCTAGATTCCAATACTAAAAATACTTACTAGGGAGGATAACATTAAGGGTGGTATTTAATATTCTAACGTCATAAAATTATATTGAAATATTTTAGATATTTTTCAGTAACATCTAAGTATATCAATAATTTTAATCAATACGAAAATACATAATCATAATACAATTTTGGTGCATCTTATATATGCATTAAAAGAATTGTGCACTCAAAGAAATATTTAGTAAATTTCAACAAGAATTGAGACAATTTTTTATTTTCATAAAATTGCAGTAATAATTTTCATAGTCTTCAATATTTTATACTCAAAGTAAGTAATTCTAACCTACAAGTAGTTAAGCGTACCTTGTTATGAAGTCAACAATATGGTAATTAACTTATATAATTAAACGAAATTTCTCTTAATTTTAAATAATAGTTTTAATGTAATTTAAAATTAAATAAAATCATGCCGAAATCATGTTTGAGATGTGAAACAGCATTCGCTGTATTATTTTACTTTTAAGTTGAATAATTGCAGTCTGCACGGAAACTAAAAATATTTTTAAAGTAAATTTCTGGTCATAATCAGTTATAAAAGTAAAAGGAAGCAAGTTTTTGGAGAACCACCATTCATAAACGTCTTAATTTTTTAGTGAAGCTTTTTAAATCAATTAGCCAGATGATTTCATTAATAATTTTCTACTAACAATCAAATGAAGGAGCTATAAACTATATGAAATGTACTCAATATTATTATGTAATTGCATCTATCTGCATCATGTTTAAAATTCCATAAACGATTAAATTCATTCAAATTTATATTTCATTTCATTCATGTAAAATGTCAAAGTATTTCTATTGCATATTTAAACGCCCTCTTCAATTATTTTTTATCATTTTAACAATTTATTTTTGGAGATATGAGATTTTATTAAAATAAAAAAAACAAAAACAAGAACACTAAAACAAGAACCCAATTTCTAAGGAATTTTTGAGTGCGTGGGAAATTTTGGAATTTAAAAAAAAAAAGATAAAAAAACTCAAGTGAATAAGGAAACAAAAAGGGAGAGAAAAAGACAAAAAAAAATTCATTAAAAAGTTTTTTTTTTTTTGTTTGCGTTTTTTTACTCTCCTTAATGTTAAATAAAGTCGTCTCATTTTTATTATTATATTCCCCTTGTTCTACCGCTCATCAACCTAATTTTCATTCTCATATTTTTTTTGCTCTCCATCATTTAACCTGAAGAGCAGTCACAACAATCTCTTGCCATACATACGATATGTTGTCGTTGTTTTATTTTTTTTTTCGTTGTATTTGTAATTTTATATTATTATGTCCTTTTATCTATAAAAAAAATAAAAAAAAAAACAATTTGTTTTCTCGTCCTTTTTTTCATAAATTCCTCTTGTAGGTACTTTTAATTTTTTTTTCTTTTTATTGTTATCTTTTTTTTAGTATTATCCTTATACTATATAAGATTTTTATTTTTTTATATGAATTTTATAAGGTACCTATATAGAAGAACTTTTATGATGGTAAAAAATTTTTTATGCATTCCATAACTTGAACCTAAAATATTAGTCCTTGGCAAATATTTGTTTCAAAAATCAGGAATCAATTTAATAAATATGTTCTTTTTTTTGTATTTTTTTTGTTTTTGGTTTATTCAGTTTTGTTTTCTGTTTACTTGCGTAAGCGATGATCCTTGTGCCTTAAATTTTATCAATTTTGAATTTTATTTGAATAGTGATTAAATGGGATGCTAACGATTCTAAAGACCAACCGTATTTATTAATATGTTGCTATTTTTGGATGCCATATATCTGGGCTTTATTATTTTTCTCTTAATTGTGTGGAATTCAATTTCAAAATGAGATTATATTTGAATTTTTTTTTCTTGCAACGAAATTAAAAGGAAAATCAATAGCAATATGTTTGTAAAAAGCAAAAAAAAAGAAAAAATATTTAAAATTTATGCAATAAATAAAAAAAAAATTTTGTTTTTTTTTTAAGAATGAATTTGAATGGTGATGAAAATTTATTAATAAAAAATAAAATTTGAGGCAATGTTTAGGCATTAATCATTGTTTGATGAATAAAAAAAACAATTAGTTTACAAATCAAAATTTGCCATTCGCCATAAAAATACTGATTGGCAAATTTTCAATATTAAAAAATAAAAAAATAAATAAGTAAAAACATGTGGCACACAAATGGCATTCAATCGAAACTATTGTGAACAGAAAACATTAATTTCATTTCACGTATGTTTGAGTCTTTATTCGAGCTATTTTATGTTTATCCGTTTGTCTGCGTGTCAATCAATCCGTCGATTATTTCTATTATTGTTAATAGGTCCATTTATTCCATGTCCCTCCCATCAATTTGTTCTTCTGAAATTTATTGTGATCAGTTTTAAGTTTTTTTGTAGTTTTATTTTTTCATTTGCTGGGCAATTGAAAGTAACTTGAAAATATACGTGAAGGTTTTTTAATGCTAAGTTATTACAATTAATAATTTCAAAAATATAATATTTCGATCTCTTATTTTGTTTTGAAAGTAATGCACTTCATTTTCGAACTTTTATAAAACGAGGAACAGTTTAACATATTGTTAGCAGTTGTCCTATTCTTATATGGTTTTATAAAATTTTTTTGTAATTTAATTCAATTTTATTGCTAATACAAACATTTTGCCAAAATTTTTTTTTTGAAAACTTCTCCTAAAGATATGCAATATTACATGATAAGGAAAGTATTCATAATAAATATAAAATACCTACACCAAAATATACAAGCAATATAATATGAATTGAAAATTTTCTCAGAATGTTAAAAAGATTTAAAGCATTGACATGCTATTTTCTAAACAATATGGATTTTCTAAACAATATGGCTATTGCAATGAGTTGATTTGATTGGTATGGAAAATACTCACTCATATATAGCTTTACAAGTTATTTATAATTACGTAAATCGTTTCCATAATTTTAGGCGCATATAAAATTTTCAATATGATTTTCGGTTAGTTCGACTATAATTGAATTAAATTTGTTAAACTTTATTTATGAATTGTTTTATTTCGGTCTCTTTCTACAATATCCTTAAATTTTTGTGTTCTTTTATTCTATGAATTGTGTACTGATGCTCTACCAGTTTTTATCTATTTAGGATTTTTATGAAGGATAATAAAATCATATATTTTTTTTTTTAATATTTATTTGTATGTACGTAAATGCGTTTTGTATACATGAAAATATTTGCATATTTGCATATTTACTTTTATATATAATATATATTTACATACTTATGTGTATATAGGAAAATTAATTTTTATTTTCATCTACTTGTACAATTTTGAATGATTTGTATGTGTACGTATGTGAATTTACTGCATATTTCAGTAAAATATAAAATTATGCTTGTTTTAAAAGAGCAAAGAAAAAAATATTAAAAAAAAAACAGAAACAAAAATGAAAATAAAATAATTTTTTTTTTTGGAATCCTTAAAACTTTTGCATATTATATTTGTATTTGTTTTTACATTTTGTATATATATATACGAAACCTAAATAAATATACACGTACATAAATTTAAATAAATGAATATTATGACTTTTTATTACCTCGACAAAAAAAAAGATCTGGTGTGATCAGCACATAACCGACTACAATGTATATTATCTAGTTTAATGAAAGTGATACAGAAGATTATAAAAATTCGTTTTAAAAACTTCTTTACAATTTTAAGATCGCTAATAAGCTCTTAGTTAACATATCTAGAAAAACGTAAATTTGGCACTTAGTAGAATTTCGCTTTATGCCACCCGAATTCCCTAAAAAGTTCAGCAGTTAGGTTTGATAAGACACTAGAGCTCAAATATCAAATTTCAATAAATTCCATCAATCCGCTCCGCAGATATGATAAAAAAATGCAAAATTCGCCTTCAGTTCGATTTCCGAGCCATTTCCAAAAAATTTAAAGGTTTATTGTTTTAACATCCTGAATTTATATATTAAATTTCAAGGAAATTGGTTGATTCTTTCTCTTTATATGCGCAAAAATGTAAAATCGACTAGCAAAAAGGTGCAAATTCAGAAGTCTGACAAATTCGAAAAGTTGATCAATCTGTGTCATGGTCAAATAAACTTACACATAAAATTTCACGAATATTGGTTCAGCCGATCTTGAGATACACGCGTGCACCTACAGGCACACAGACCGACCGACATCTGTTTAAAAATATTTTATTTACGCTTCCTATACAAATAGCAAATTTTCTTGCTATCACATAACCTCCCTTATTGTATGCAATGCGGTCGGTAAAAATATTATAATTCATTAGGTATACAAAATTTATTTTTTCATCCATAATTTTTATAAGAATGTCATAACCAAAATTAAAGAAAAAAAAATTTCTTTTATTTATTCTGTGAGTGTTGCAGACACTGCGTGATTTTCTTTTTATAGTTATGGATGCAAATTAAAATAAATATAATAAAAATAATTTAATCGCCGCAGTCTCAAATTGCAATAACGTTTTTTTTTGTCCTTACGTTTTGACTGATTTTTTAAGACTTTTTATCCATCGTTTAACTTATCTAATGAAATTTTGAAAATTTTTTTTGCGTTTAATTTTTAAAAATAATTTTCTGTAAATTTTTTAATATTAGAAATAATTCTT